TTTTTTTTTTAAATCCTCTTTTCTGTAAAACGTAATTTTCCTGTGACAGTCGAAGAGTATTCTGTGTATCACACATACCTCGGTCGCTGGGTGCTTTGCCTCTGACCATACTGTACAAATATTCCATATTTATACAGCTACTCAGAGCAGACCCCGCATCAGGCAGCCGTTGCTAGGGCAACAGTACTTTTGCCTGCACGCAGCAGAGTAAACAGTCCTATAAACAGACCGAGGCTGTGGCAGCAGCAGACACATACACCCTCAGAGAAGTACTTAAAGGGCTTAGAGAGGGAATCCAAAAGGAACGCTTAGATGTTGAACGGCAGAGCCCTTTTCCAGATGTGGAGAGTTCAGGAGCAGTTCAGAGGGCCATCTGACATTGCTGATGTTTATCAGAGACCGTGTTCTGCTGCCTGCTGGGCCACTTTATATCATGCCTCCTCTCCATTCCCTCCACCCGAGCTACTTCTGTGAGGCCCCCAGCCTGGGAGTTAGGCCCTTATTGCTGCATCTGAGCACATGTGCTTGCAGGGGCCTGGAGAAGCAGCTGGCAGAGGACAGGCCATAGGAGCTGGGCTTCCTGTGTACCTCTGATGGGGAGTGGGGAAGGCTGCAGCCGCTTGGCATGCCGTGCTGAGTAGGAGCTCACAGGAAAGGACCCAGGGCATCCAGGGTGCCAGCATGAGCTCGCTGGACTCTGGACACATGAGGAAGGGAGTGGAGAGGAGGAGAGGGAAGATGGGAGAGGAAGGGAAGACTGACCAGCCTTATCAAGGCAGTGACCCCCTCAGCAAAGGGGGAGACAGGCTTTCAGACCTAAAAAAAATAAAAGAACAAAAAGAATAGTTAATAGGCCCAGAGAACTCAGTTAATCCTATGCATGTTAACTCAGTTAATCCTCACAATGACTTGTGAAGTAATTACTGTTATTTTTCCCATTGCACTGCTGAGGAGACCAAGGCACAGAGAGATGGAGCCACTTGCCCAGGTTCACAAAGCTAGAGTGCAGCAGAGCTGAGATTTGAGCCCAGGCAGATGGGCTGCAGCATCTTTACACCCAGCTGCAATGGGATGGAGCTGGACTTGAACCTGCATATGTCTGAGCCCTGAAGCCTCATTCTGAACTACTATAGGGTTATGGTCCTCCTGCCATCTGCTCCTGCTTCCTCCCTGGGGCCTGGGGAAGAGGCCTCATGGAGCCACAGCCATGGGCTGTTTTTAGCCCCGCACCAGCCAGTCCTTCCTCACTCCACCTGGGGACACGGGTGCTGAAAGGAATGGGGTTGATTCACAGTGTTCCTCTCACTTGAGGTGGCCTTTGTACTCCCATCCGTGTAAAAATCCTCTCTTATTCTCTGAGGCCAGGTTCCAAAATAGAGACCCCTTAGTTTGGGGAAGAGCTAATAAGAGAAGAATTTACCACATGCTACTCTCTCCCTGGGCTACAGTGACACAAAAATGAGCAGCGGCGAGGACGGGAGGGGAAAGAGAGGCTGCTTTGACTGTGGTCTTTTGTCCTTGCAGTCCTCTTTTTCTCCTTAGTTTCTTGTTCACTGCCTCTCTAGACAAGTCTCTAGAAGTTATTCCTTGAAATCCAGACTCAGGAATTCTCAGCCACTGCGGGCAGAGGTGCACATGCATCAGGAGTCTCGCAGAGGTCCCTTTCCATCCTGCAGGAATTGCTTGGGACTGCCTTCTCAGCAGGCTCTCCCCATGGGAGAGCAGCCCACAGCCCCCAGCTTCCATTCTGCCAGTTTAGCAACTGCAGTCAAAAGAGACTGCTATGTCACTGTCTTAGCAAAAGTCCCTGGAGCTGGAAGATTCATTTTTCTACTGACCAGTGGTGGGTCCAGAGGTAGCTTTAGCTCCACCCAAAGCTCTAGGACATGGTGACCCAAAGTTCTGGGACATGGTGGCCCAGAGGGAGATGGTGAAATTCTACAATGAGAAGAGGGCAGAAGAGTTGAGAAGCAAGAGCAGCAGGGCCCATGGGAGACTCGCGTAGTGTACATGTGACAAGATTGTGTAAACCAGGCAGTCCTGTCACCAGGAGGAACCGTGCTTCTTCCTTTGCTGATGAAGTTAAGCAAAGCGTTTATGTGCTCGTACAGGAGCAATGTTTTTGACAAACCATGGTCACGGTTTTCCTTACTAAGAGTTAAAACCCTTTTTTTTTCTTTTCCACTGTCTTAGTCTGTTTGGACTGCTATGACAGAATACCATAGACTGGGTGGCTTATAAACCACAGAAATGTACTTCTCACAGTTCTGTAGGTTGGGAAGTCCAAGATCAAAACACCAGCAGATTCGGTATCTGGTGAGGGCCCGTTCCTCATTGATGGCACCTGCCAAATGTGTGCTCACATGATGGAAGGGGCAAACAAGCTCCCTTGGGCCTCTTTTATAAGGGCACTAATCCCATTCATGAGGGCTCCACCCTCATGCTCTGATCACCTCCCAAATGCCCCACTCCAAATACCATCACCATGGGGTTTAGGATTTCAGCTTATGCATTTGGGAGAATACAGACATTTAGAACAAAGCATCTACTGATCTGCTTTAGTGACTTGCCCATTGGAATGGCATACACAGGTGGTGGGATTCAATTCATCTATCCATTTAACGTACAAAGAGCCCCTATCATGCTCCAGGCCATGTTCTAGGTCCTGGAGAGGCCACAGACACTTGATGACTGTCCTCACAGAGCTTCACTTTTAGTGGGGGAGACAGATGATAAACAGATGCAATGCACAGCAGTATCAGTGCTATGAAGAAAAACACAGCAGATAAGGGTGGAGAGTGAGGGAGAGCTGCTGTTAGGATGGACAGGAAGACTTCTCCAAGGAGTGAAGGAGACAGTGTCAGTGTCACGGTTAGGAACAAGATTCCCTGGACACAGATCTCCTCTCTGATTTCTAGTTATATTATCTTAGTCCAGTTACTTAACCTCCTGTGCCTCTGTTTTCTCATCTGAAAAATGGAAATAATACTGGAAAGTTACCTGGAGCAATTAAGTGAGTTTATTTATATAAAGCACTTAGAGCAGAGCTTTATCATATGTTAGTATTATTATTGCTACTTGTCTGGGGGACAAGTGTGCCAGGCAGAAGCATTCGCAGACAGGTCATTTTGATCTAGACTCTCTGTGCTGGGAGCAAATGAGTTAAGAAGGAGCTCACTGGGAGTACTAGGGGGCTCTTATGATAGGACATGAATACCTTTTACATGGGGGCCTGATCGTTGATTTACTGACATTTTATTCTGCCACATTCAGAATCCTGAGCCAAACCAGGGTGCTGTGTGTTTCACATCATACTAGGGGGCTCTGAGCATCTTGTCAGCCTCTTCCATGTCTCTTGCTTCCTCAGGGATTGACCAAGGTCAAATGACCTATGACGGCCAACACTGGCATGCCACTGAGACCTGTTTCTGCTGTGCTCACTGCAAGAAATCCCTCCTGGGGCGGCCGTTCCTCCCAAAGCAGGGCCAGATCTTCTGCTCACGGGCCTGCAGTGCCGGGGAGGACCCCAACGGCTCTGACTCATCCGATTCGGCCTTCCAGAACGCCAGGGCCAAGGAGTCCCGGCGCAGCGCCAAAATTGGCAAGAACAAGGGCAAGACGGAGGAGCCCATGCTGACCCAGCACAGCCAGCTGCAGGTGAGTTCCAACCGGCTGTCGGCCGACGTGGACCCTCTGTCGCTGCAGATGGACCTGCTCAGCCTGTCCAGCCAGACGCCCAGCCTCAACCGGGACCCCATCTGGAGGAGCCGGGACGAGCCCTACCTTTATGGGAACAAGATGGAGCAGAACCAGTCCCAGAGCCCTCTGCAGCTGCTCGGCCAGTGCAACATCAGAACTTCCTACAGTCCGGGCGGGCAGGGGGCCGGGGCCCAGCCCGACATGTGGGCCAAGCACTTCAGCAACCCCAAAAGGAGCTCGTCACTGGCCATGAAGGGGCACAGCGGCAGCTTCATCAAGGAGTGCCGAGAGGACTATTACCCGGGGAGGCTGAGATCCCAGGAGAGCTACAGTGATATGTCCAGTCAGAGCTTTAGTGAAACCCGAGGCAGCATCCAAGTCCCCAAGTACGAGGAGGAGGAAGGGGACATGTCCACTCAGCAGTGTCGGACCCGTCATCCCATCAGTTCCCTGAAATACACGGAGGACATGACGCCCACAGAGCAGACCCCTCGGGGCTCCATGGAATCGCTGGCCTTGTCCAATGCCACAGGTAGGTTCTGTTCAGCTGGAAACGGACAGCAAGGGGTAGCCTCTGGGTGACCTGACGCGGGGTCCTCGGGATTTTAGTGTCATTCCTGCCGTACACTCTCCTCCAACGGGCCGCTGAGGAAGGTCGGTCCAGGTTCTGGATGGCTTCTGTCTTTGGTGGGAGTCCATATAAACAAAGCTGAGACGGGGGTCTGGCTGACTGGGATGTATTGAGGGAGTGCTCCCAGGACAGGGGGAGTGAGAGCAACAGGACAGGACAGGGGTGGGGCCAAGTGAGGAACGATGTGGCAGCTAGAGTCTAGCTTCAGCCCGATCCCACAGACGGCTCCAGAGGATGAATTGCACCGTAACCATAGAGTTGGTTCCTTCTTGTGACAAAGGGGTTGACATTTTGTACCACCTTGTCAGTCAGTCCTTGGCTTTGGGCAATTGGATAGCAACTGGGGGTGAGGGTGTGGATGTGGGCATGGGCAAGGCAGCTCCTGTTGACCAAAGGCAACACTCAGGAGAAGCAGCATCTGTGAGCTGATAACTGATGGATCCCGGTGCCCCAACCTAGTGCTGCTTGCAAAGCAGCCACAGTATCTTCCAAGGCTGTTCTGAACCCCAGTATCTCACCAGGGAGCTGATTTTACTGTGCAGACAAAGACATAAGAAACGTGTATGGCCAGACAAGAAGGTAGGCAGGCTGAAAAGAACAGAAATGGAGAGAGAGAGAGAGAGAGAGAATGAATCTCATGCATTCTCTCTCCAACCAAGTTGTCTGCTTGGTTTGTGTGCACATGAAGACTGATGTAGTTGTTTCCCAAGACGGTGCTACTCAAAATGGAGTCTGATGATCAGGCTGGCCAACAGCAACAAGATAAGTCCTGAAATTGAGAGTGTCTAGAAACTCTTGGAGCAGGTAGATATTGCTGTGACATCCAAGTGTGTGCTCAGTTGGCTTATCTCATCGATCAGAGTATAGGCCAGTCAGGGTGTTGTAGAGCTCATGTGGTGTCATTTGTGGCACATGTTGTATATCAGTCCTGCTCAGGAGGGCCACGTATCAGTCCACAACTGGTTTAAAATGAAAGCAAACTGGCCTTTCCCCACCAGTAGCTTGAGAAGTGGTGCTCCAAGATGTGCTAAGTATGCCTGCCCCTTTATGGGCAGGGTAGCAGAGGAGGGAGGCGTGTCTGTCTCTTACAGTAAGGATTCCATGGTCAAAGGTGTCTGGATGTAGATTTTGACCAACTAGCACAGGTCAGCCACCTCTGAAGGGGACAGCCACTGCTCAGATCCAGCTGCCTCTTGCCATGTGGAGGGGTATTTATTTATTCAACTAACACTTACGTAGCTCTGACCGTGTGCCAAACATTATTCTAAGCACTTTATAAATATTAGCTTGCTTAATTACATTGTCACAACACTATGAGAAAGGTGTATTATTATAATTCTCATTTCAGAGTTGAAGAAACCGAGAGAAGCAGGGAGGTTAAGGGACTTGCCCAAAGTCACCCAGCTTTTAAGTGGTGGAGGAGGGATTTGAATTTGTGTGTGTGACTCCAGAGCCATGCTCTTAATCACAGCAGGCTGCCAACCTCATATGAGGCCCATCCTGTGAGATATTTCACTTTTTCCAGAGAAGTTAAAAAAAGTGGATTTTTTTAAAATGTGAACTCCATTTAATCTGTCTGCTAGACAAACAAATGGTGTCTCTGAGTTGTAGGATGTCTATGCAGTGTGTTTTTCCTTTTATCTTCCTTAAATGCTTTCACATCTGTGTTCCCATTTGTCCCAGAGGACAACAAGCAGATATCCTTACCCCCGTGTTTCAGATGGAAAAAAAAATAAGGTCTTGGTGACTAAGTGCCTTGCCTGACGTTGTAGAAATGAGCAATTAGTGCGGAGTGATGACTGCCTGGCTTCTAGCCCAGGTCGTGTTATTCTCGAAAGATTTATGTGCTATAATTATTTAAGAGGCCAGCAGATAAATATGTAATTCAGCCTCTGAAGCAGAGTTTCTCCAGGCTAGACCACCTGCATTAGAATCATTGGGGTGCTCGATTAAAAGGTGGACACTTGGGCCTCCCCCAGATCCCCTGCAACAGAACTCAACAGAGGTGGGGCCTAGGAATCTGCATTTTAACCAGCTCCCTCCTGACACCGATGAGCACCATTAGCTGAGAACAGATGTTCCTGGGCTTATCTGTTCTGATAGTTTCCTCACGTTGTGCCTTAGGAGCAAATTGGGAGGGCTAGAGGTTGGGGAATGTTGGAAAGGCCGGGTAAGGAAGAACGCGGTCTCCACTCCTGAGGAAGAGATCATGCGAGATGTATTCTCATGATTTTCTTTGGATCCTTGGGCAAAGCAACTAACGCCCCTTTGCCTTGGATCTTTGGAAAGTAACTCTGACAAAACTGAGGGAAAAATTCCTGAGATCAGCACTGTCCACTATGGTAGCCACTAGCCACATGTAGCAACTGGAATTTAAAACAAAATTAAATGAACTCTAATGTCCAGTCCATTGCTGTTGAGCACTTAAAATGTGGCTGGTGCAACCGATGGCCTGAAATCTTAATTTCATTTAAATTAAAGTAATTTAAATTTTAATAGCCTCACATGGCTAAGTGGCAACCCCGTTGAACAATCTAGATGACAGAAGTGAGCTGATAGGATGGGCATGAAATTAAGCCCATCATT